ACTTACCTCCCCTGTGTCTGTCCACCACTTACCTCCCCTGTGTCTATCCACCACTTACCTCCCCTGTGTCTGTCCACCACTTACCTCACCTGTGTCTGTCCACCACTGACCTCCCCTGTGTCTGTCCACCACTTACCTCCCCTGTGTCTGTCCACCACTTACCTCCCTTGTGTCTGTCCACCACTTACCTCCCTTGTGTCTGTCCACCACTTACCTCCCCTGTGTCTGTCCACCACTTACCTCCCCTGTGTCTGTCCACCACTTACCTCCCTTGTGTCTGTCCACCACTTACCTCACCTGTGTCTGTCCACCACTTACCTCCCTTGTGTCTGTCCACCACTTACCTCCCCTGTGTCTGTCCACCACTTACCTCCCCTCTGTCTGTCCACCACTTACCTCCCTTGTGTCTGTCCACCACTTACCTCCCCTGTGTCTGTCCACCACTTACCTCCCCTGTGTCTGTCCACCACTTACCTCCCCTGTGTCTGTCCACCACTTACCTCCCCTGTGTCTGTCCACCACTTACCTCCCCTCTGTCTGTCCACCACTTACCTCACCTGTGTCTGTCCACCACTTACCTCCCTTGTGTCTGTCCACCACTTACCTCCCCTGTGACTGTCCACCACTTACCTCCCCTTGTGTCTGTCCACCCCTCTATTGAGGTGAGCATACCACTGACCTCCCCTGTGTCTGTCCACCACTTACCTCCCCTGTGTCTGTCCACCACTTACCTCCCCTGTGTCTGTCCACCACTTACCTCCCCTGTGTCTGTCCACCACGTACCTCCCTTGTGTCTGTCCACCACTTACCTCCCTTGTGTCTGTCCACCACTTACCTCCCTTGTGTCTGTCCACCACTTACCTCCCCTGTGTCTGTCCACCACTTACCTCCCCTGTGACTGTCCACCACTTACCTCCCTTGTGTCTGTCCACCACTTACCTCCCTTGTGTCTGTCCACCACTTACCTCCCTTGTGTCTGTCCACCACTTACCTCCCCTGTGTCTGTCCACCACTTACCTCCCCTCTGTCTGTCCACCACTTACCTCACCTGTGTCTGTCCACCACTTACCTCACCTGTGTCTGTCCACCACTTACCTCACCTGTGTCTGTCCACCACTTACCTCCCCTGTGTCTGTCCACCACTTACCTCCCCTGTGTCTGTCCACCACTTACCTCCCCTGTGTCTGTCCACCACTTACCTCACCTGTGTCTGTCCACCACTTACCTCACCTGTGTCTGTCCACCACTTACCTCACCTGTGTCTGTCCACCACTTACCTCACCTGTGTCTGTCCACCACTTACCTCCCTTGTGTCTGTCCACCACTTACCTCCCTTGTGTCTGTCCACCACTTACCTCCCTTGTGTCTGTCCACCACTTACCTCCCCTGTGTCTGTCCACCACTTACCTCCCCTGTGACTGTCCACCACTTACCTCCCTTGTGTCTGTCCACCACTTACCTCCCTTGTGTCTGTCCACCACTTACCTCCCCTGTGTCTGTCCACCACTTACCTCCCCTCTGTCTGTCCACCACTTACCTCACCTGTGTCTGTCCACCACTTACCTCACCTGTGTCTGTCCACCACTTACCTCACCTGTGTCTGTCCACCACTTACCTCCCCTGTGTCTGTCCACCACTTACCTCCCCTGTGTCTGTCCACCACTTACCTCCCCTGTGTCTGTCCACCACTTACCTCACCTGTGTCTGTCCACCACTGACCTCCCCTGTGTCTGTCCACCACTTACCTCCCCTGTGTCTGTCCACCACTTACCTCCCTTGTGTCTGTCCACCACTTACCTCCCCTGTGTCTGTCCACCACTTACCTCCCCTGTGTCTGTCCACCACTTACCTCCCTTGTGTCTGTCCACCACTTACCTCCCTTGTGTCTGTCCACCACTTACCTCACCTGTGTCTGTCCACCACTTACCTCCCTTGTGTCTGTCCACCACTTACCTCCCCTGTGTCTGTCCACCACTTACCTCCCCTCTGTCTGTCCACCACTTACCTCCCTTGTGTCTGTCCACCACTTACCTCCCCTGTGTCTGTCCACCACTTACCTCCCCTGTGTCTGTCCACCACTTACCTCCCCTGTGTCTGCCACCACTGAACTCCCCTGTGACTGTCCACCACTTACCTCCCTTGTGTCTGTCCACCACTTACCTCCCTTGTGTCTGTCCACCACTTACCTCCCCTGTGTCTGTCCACCACTTACCTCCCCTGTGTCTGTCCACCACTTACCTCCCCTGTGTCTGTCCACCACTTACCTCCCCTGTGTCTGTCCACCACTTACCTCCCTTGTGTCTGTCCACCACTTACCTCCCCTGTGACTGTCCACCACTTACCTCCCTTGTGTCTGTCCACCACTTACCTCCCTTGTGTCTGTCCACCACTTACCTCCCCTGTGACTGTCCACCACTTACCTCCCTTGTGTCTGTCCACCACTTACCTCCCCTGTGTCTGTCCACCAGTTACCTCCCTTGTGTCTGTCCACCACTTACCTCCCCTGTGTCTGTCCACCACTGACCTCCCCTGTGACTGTCCACCACTTACCTCCCCTGTGTCTGCCACCACTGAACTCCCCTGTGACTGTCCACCACTTACCTCCCTTGTGTCTGTCCACCACTTACCTCCCTTGTGTCTGTCCACCACTTACCTCCCCTGTGTCTGTCCACCACTTACCTCCCCTGTGTCTGTCCACCACTTACCTCCCCTGTGTCTGTCCACCACTTACCTCCCCTGTGTCTGTCCACCACTTACCTCCCTTGTGTCTGTCCACCACTTACCTCCCCTGTGACTGTCCACCACTTACCTCCCTTGTGTCTGTCCACCACTTACCTCCCTTGTGTCTGTCCACCACTTACCTCCCCTGTGACTGTCCACCACTTACCTCCCTTGTGTCTGTCCACCACTTACCTCCCCTGTGTCTGTCCACCAGTTACCTCCCTTGTGTCTGTCCACCACTTACCTCCCCTGTGTCTGTCCACCACTGACCTCCCCTGTGACTGTCCACCCCTCTATTGAGGTGAAAGGTCACGTGAGATGGCCGTCCACCTGACACCAGGAGATATCTTCAGCCGTCCAAATGTGTCTCGATAAGGTCTGAGATATGTGAGATGGTCAGGTTATCGGGACCCATCTCAAACTTTAATACCTGATTGTTCAGGTGAGAATCACAGGTGAACGAGCCGCTATCAGATCGTACTTTGGCAGGATATAATATGTATATATATATATATATATATATATATATATATATATATATATATATATATATATATATATATATATATATATATATAAACTTATTTATGTATAAACGTAGCTGTTTTATCAAACTTTATACAGCACAGAACATATTGTGCTACACACCAAAATCTATTCCCCATTGTTCAAGTATTTCTTGTCACACACCAAAATCTATCTCCCCACATAAGGGTAGATCTAGGAGCTACACACACCAAAATTCCCCATTGTTCAAGTATTTCTTGGCTCTATCGTTCGGTTGTAAATCACGTTTTTCTTAGCTGTGACAAAACCTGGGACGAAGGGTGGGGTGGGGTTGTATTCTGACGTCACTCTGTTTGTATGATGGAATACTTTAGAACAGGGTAGTTAAGCTCTGTTATGGGTATAAATATGAACCTTTCATGAAGACACAAGTATGTACCCACTGTAACAAAGCGTAGAAATTATATATATATATATATATATATATATATATATATATATATATATATATATATATATATATATATATATATATATATATATATATATATATTATATGCCCTTTGTTATAAAGTAAACAATACAGATGGCAGATATGTACCTCTAGAGGATACATCTGTACTATTCTGTACAAAGGTTGTACGAAATGTTTTCACAAGTTTGCTTCAATTAAATTTGTCCTAAAAATAAATTTTGTAGCCCGAGTCTTAACACCCGGAAGTTATCGGTCTTTGGTTGAGAACTTTGGTGCTTCTCTCCCTTGGAACACGTCACACAACTCATGTTTGATTACGTCCCTTAATTATTCATTGTTAAATAATGTTTGATTACGTCCCGTTCAATTATTCATTGTTAAATAATGTTTAACGTGTGATCGCGTGTCGTGGTGTATGAATGTTTAACCAGGTTTAAACTTTGCCTGCACGAGAGGCTACACGTCTGCTTTATGGGCCGACCTAGCTGGATCGTTTGGAAATCTAATATCCAGTCTGTTGAACACTTCCTTAGATACATTTTTTATATTACCAGTACCGCCATGTATTTGTATAGTTTCGAGCCAGTTCGGCAATACCCCCCCTCCCCCCCCCCCCCACACACACCACCCTAAATATATATCAAACCTCAAACCTTGATGTAAGCTCCTAAAGTTTAAAATACTCTTTTTTTTCACTTTCCATTTAAATCTCAAGGTCAAGCACCAAGGTCAAGCACTGATTTCAAACAGGTAGTTGGCAGTGATTTTTGAGAGATCGATAACTCCTTAGGCTGTGTTATAGCCGTGTATTGATCGATCAGAAATCAATGCATGGAATGGTTATTGAATATTGTTGGAGGTGTTCGCATTAGCTCATGTTGGGCCCTTGATTATTAGTTAAAAAACATCTGAGTTAAACCCTATCAGCTACATCCCCTAGCTGTCGAGAAATATGTTTACCTTTGGTTACTCTACTTAAAATAATTATTACTCTAAAAAGTTGTGTTACACCTGAACACCGCAAAGGCTAAAAGCTGAATAAAAATTCTTTATATTGGTTTGCATTGATTAGCGCACCATTTGATGACGCCATCAGTATAATTTTTGAGTCAGCCAACTTTCACGTCGCAGTTAGCCCCCAACACACATGTTTTTATACCAGCATCAATGCTGCACGCTCCATAGTGATTTCACGGTAAACAGGTGGCAAATTGATAAATAAATCGGACTAATAGAAATCGATAACAGCCTATAAATAAGATCCGATATTGGTTTTATCTTCTGACCGTATCAGCAAGCCAAAAACAAAACTGGTGTCATATTGTTTCAGTGTGTTGCTGGTAGCATAAAGCTATGCTACTTTCTAGAGGATGACTAGTTCATGTAATATAAGGGGTTGTAATGTAAGTGTAGGATAGACTGTGGATGTAAGGAGATGCAATGTAAGTTGAGGATAGCCTGCAAAATATGTAAGGTGATGTAAGTATAGAATAATGTGTGGATGTAATGTAATGTAAGTGTAAGAAAGCCTGTGTGTAAGGTAATGTAATGTAAGTGTAGGATAGCCTGTGTATGTATCAGTGCTACTTTCTGTTATAGTGACTCTACAGTTATAGTGATTCTACAGTTATAGTGATTCTACAGTTATAGTGACTCTTATGGTGACTCTACAGTTAAACTCTGGCGAAAGTTTAACTCTGGTGACGTCTAGTGACACTACAGCTAAACTCTGGTGACACTACAGCTAAACTGGTGACACTACGGTTTTCCCATGAGTCAACTCTCTGATTGTCCCAGGTTTTCCCACCTCGGGTTTTCCCGTGCTGTCATAATTTGACTCACCCAGGCTAGACTTTAAAGTCACGTGCCACATTGTCAGATGCCTGATGTGTGTTAAAACGTGAGCAGTAATTGTGTGAACGTTTGATCTCGGCACTAGAAGGTCAGTGAACTCTGGCCTTAGACCACGTGTCATTTGTCGAGGCCAACCATTGCATATGTTGTTGTTGAGGGAGTCAGGCCTACAGTTTGTATTGAATATGATGTCTTGAGAAAATAAGGTCACAGTAATACAGTTAGCATTAGCTACACGAGTTCTTATGTTAATAGCATCACGCTGTACTAGTGACGTCTTTATTTTACCGACAGCTGACGTCAAAGTCCTGTCATACTTGTTACGTCATTATAAATTTAAACCTCAGAACGGTGACGTCACAGCCATAACTGCTGCTAGTTACATTGCAGGGCTTTTGAAGTTAAAAAAAAATTGTCGCCTTAAATCTTTTAAAACCGCGGGAAATGTCCGCGTGGCCGAGCGTTATTTAGGTCAGAACTTGACCACTGTTTGTTGACCAGCGATGTTACGTCATGTGCACACGCATGCGCAGTCTGTTTGGACAGGTATTTTAGTGAGTCGGTTTTAGCATGTCGGGAGGAAATGGACCTGTCGGGATGTTAGCAAACAGCTTTAGAAGTTGTCATGTAGTAGCACCATCAGCTGCTGATTGCTGTTGTAGCACCATCAGCTGCTGATTGCTGTTGTAGCACCATCAGCTGCGATTGCTGTTGTAGCACCATCAGCTGCTGATTTTAAAAAGCGTAGGTTAGATGTCTGATTAATGTGATGGTGTTGTAAGCTACCAATAGTTGAGTTATTACAGCAGCTATTAGCAAATGTTAAAACTGGACAATACTAGAAAAACTGTCGTATGTTGATTGTTTAATACTTAAAGTTTTGGCTTTTATATTTCTAAACGTTGTTTTTAAAAAACTATTTAAGATAGCTAACAATAACACGAATGAAGAACAATTTTAACATGGCAACTTGTATGATGACATTCTTTACCAAGTTTGTGGATCTGTGAACTTTGTTCCGTCATTGTCTGTTGGTTTTAAAGTCATGTCAGTCGTCAGGCCTTTACACCATACGATAGTTAGTTGTCATCTGGTAGTTAGGCAGTTGGTAGTTTTATGCTAGGTAGTGTGTAGTTGTTTGCTAGGTAGTTAGTAACGGGGTAGCTGTGAGCTTAAACTATGGCACACCGCTCCCCCACCCCTGCAGCACCACTCACACCCCACCCCCTTCTGCGTTAGTTAAACCTCCTACCCCCACCCCCTGTAGCATCAATCACACCCCACCCCCTGTAGCATCAATGACACCCCCACCCCCTGTAGCATCAATCACACCCCACCCCCTGTAGCATCAATGACACCCCCACCCCCTGTAGCATCAATCACACCCCACCCCCTGTAGCATCAATCACACCCCACCCCCTGTAGCATCAATGACACCCCCACCCCCTGTAGCATCAATGACACCCCCACCCACTGTAGCATCAATGACACCCCCACCCCCTGTAGCATCAATCACACCCCACCCCCTGTAGCATCAATGACACCCCCACCCCCTGTAGCATCAATCACACCCCACCCCCTGTAGCATCAATGACACCCCCACCCCCTGTAGCACTATCGGATTTGTTTGCTCAGGCCTAGTTCCCCCATTGGCCCTTGACCTTTCCACTTGTAACTTGCACGCATGAGTAGATACAAATACACTTAACTAGAACTTCATTAGTGATGTCGGTTAATTGCTTGCGTCTGATTTGGCGTAATGTAAGGTTTCATCATTTGCAGTTCCTAAAATATGCAGCACATACAGCTCCTAGCATACAGCTCCTCACATACAGCTCCTAACATACAGCTCCTCACATACAGCTCCTAACATACAGCTCCTAACATACAGCTCCTAACACACAGTTCCTAACACACAGCTCCTCACATACAGCTGCCATTGTATGCCCTAGTACCAAAATATTCCCCATGAATGTTGTACCAAGGTAGAACCCTAAATAATTTTGTATCCGCTTTATCGTTCTATTCCACGCCCTCCTGTCAAATCATGGCTAATTAAAAACTGGTTCAAAACTTAACTTTATTCTTCACATTGAAATGTAGGTCTTAACAAATGTTCTTTAAAATATATTTTTTAAGAAGAAATACCAAATGAGCATGATCTAACAAAAAAAATAAATCTAGAATCATTTTTAAAGAAGTCTCCTCCAATTAAAAGAATTATCATTAGATATAGATTCGTCACAAAGTCTTTCATTCAGCACCTTTTGAGTCCATACTAAGTTGATTAATTTATTCCAGATGGATGCCCGGATGTGAGCTGTGTTGGTACACCGGGAGATCGGCCATACAAACATGAATTAGTCAACTACGTCCCAGCCTCATACCCCGTCAGAACCCCAGAGCCCTGACAGAACCTCGGACCAATGAAAATGTCGAAAGTTCCGAGAGCTCACGAGATTTTTCACAACCCCGCGCTGGGCAAAACCAGCGTCTTCCAGTACAACGAGCAGGAGTCCATGCAGAAGCTCAAACTCAACAGCAAAAAATCTGCCACTCCCGTCTCGGGCATGAAGAAATTTGGGGGGTACAAGCCGAAAATTTTGGGGGGTCAGTCCGACTTCCTAGCCCTGCAGCAAGACACAGAGAGGACGAACGAGTCGTCAGTGGTCAGTCGCGACACGTCCCCCACCAAACCCAGGCCGTGGGTGGTGGGGGACAAAAACGTCCCCATGGTTTTGGGGACTTTAGAGGACGACGATGATTACGTAGATGAAAACGGCAACAACCCAGAGATGTACTTGAACGGTTTCGGTCGTGTCAATGACCTGAGAGACACCGATGACGTCAAAGATATCGATGACGTCAAAGATCTCGATGACCACGCTCGCTCCGAGACGTCAACTCTGGTCTCCCAACACTCGGACGACCTCAGACACGGGCTGGCTAACGCCGCCTACGTCAGCAGTTCAGTCTCGGACATCGGCTCCACGGACCACCTGCCAGCAGGCGACCTGCCAGCAGACGACCGTCCAGAGCCCAGCGGCGTGTTTATCCCCGCCCCCGACTACGACGAGGAGGAGAGAACTCTAGACTTCAACTCCGAGGACACGGACGAGGGCGAGGACCACCAGAGGGCCAACCCCCAGCGGACAAAACCTGTGATGAAAGTCTACGACGGCGAAGATCTCTCTCGCTATCTCAGCGATGACGACGATGAGGTAGATAGTGAGGTACAGCTCCGCCATAACGGGAAGTCCCACAAGGGTACGGTCAACCCAAAACATACTTTGTTCAAACAAAGCCAGTCCAAGAGCAAGAAAACCAGGGGCGGCACCCAGGGCCACGGCAGTGTCCGCAGTTTCAGCTACGCCGATTCCAAGTTCGGCACCAAAGGGAAGGCATCCAGTAAATCCCTTGTGGCTGACGCCCCTGACGACAGCCAAAGATTCTTGACTGCTAACACTCACCAAAGCTCGTACGAGTCGTTTCTACGTTCTAGGAACGGGGACGTTTTGCCGAGTACAGAGTTGAACGACAGCGGAGTGGACATGGGGGAGGAGTTTGGCCAGCACAAAGACGGCACGCTCTGGAAGAAGATGACAGTCAGACTCAAAAACAGGCTTAGTAAAAGTTTGAAAGATCATTGAGGATCTTGATAGAAAGATCACTGAGGATCTTGCTTTGAAGCTCTTGTAACACCCCCGGCAGCCCACCTGCCAGAAGCCCTATAACATGTTTCTAAGGGTGGAGTAACTCATGCTGCTAATCTTACCGAGATGGCCGCACTTTAAAGGGAAATAATATCTGAGCATGCCCCTCCAACAACACAATGTTGAAGTGATTCATGCAGGCTGTAATGTTGTCCAGTTCTTGTCATGGTAATGTTGTCCAGTTCTTGTCATGCAGGCTGTAATGTTGTCTAGTTCTTGTCATGCGGGCTGTAATGTTGTTCAGTTCTTGTCATGCAGGCTGTAATGTTGTCCAGTTCTTGTCATGCAGGCTGTAATGTTGTCCAGTTCTTGTCATGCAGACTGTAATGTTGTCCAATTCTTGTCATGCAGGCTGTAATGTTGTCCAGTTCTTGTCATGCAGGATATAATGTTGTCCAATTCTTGTCATGCCGGCTGTAATGTTGTCCACACTAAATGGTCTCATGTCCACAAATGTGAATACTTGCACGAAACCCTTCCTATTTATTTGATTGCACCCACGACATAAGTTGGAGATCCCAAATGTTTGGCCCACCAGATCTTAAGTCAGCCATGTTTCATTCGTTAGCTATGTATGACAGACACAAGACAGGCTGGAGACAGGACAGACATGAGACAAGACAGACAAGACATAAGAGACAATGCTGTCGCATTGGCTGTATGGCTGAATTGGCTGGCCAATAAAATAATACTGACAATATATTGCATGTTTATATGTGTATCTATGCTGTGTGTAAATTTAAAATGAAAATCAAAGAATGATATTCACCACTGGTTATTTCAACTTAGTTCTATGTATAGCTGAAGCTTCTATGTATAGCTGAACCTTCTATGTATAGCTGAAGCTTCTATGTATAGCTGAACCACAAAAACAATGTTCAAAAAGTGGGACATTTTGTCCTGTGTGTTAACATTATTATCTTCTACCCTAAATTTGCAGTAGATATATTTATGATTGACTTATAGCAATTTTATACTATGTTTTAAATATACAACTACGGTTAACAAAATTTAAGTATGATATTCTTGCTCTACCGATTAACAACGTTAATGTGACAATTGTTATAAACTGTAGATGGATAAACTTGTTAAAATAATTTCACGTTTTTAAAAAAAACGAGCTAAGGGAAACAACCAACGAAATTATTTTGTCCTATATTTACTCAGACAACAACAGGCTTCCTTCCCTTGAGCTTCTACACAAGACTGACCTAAGTTTTGCTTCCGCACATTCTCTGCCCCTCCTGCCTAGTGATTATTTTAGTTGAATGAAATTTATTATTGATATAAAGCATTTATAAATTGAATGTCCTAATAGCATTAACTGACCACATGGATGTGCTGTAATCAGCATCTAGTTACAATATCAGACAATCAGCACTTTTCCATCAAGACATCCCAGCCTTTTTTATAACTTTGTATCTAGGTTCACAATAGCTGTTTATTGGTGGTAAATCATCTAATTTATGACCAAATTCTAATGCAGTAACTCTGTTCAACTTTTGTAGATTTTAAAAATCTAATCTGATATTATACAATTAGTCATTACAATTGAATATGTTCAAACGTGTAGAAGACAGGATCTATGTTATGCTATTTACACAATCAGCTAGATTGTCATGTTGAACTGTTAACATATTTCACACCTTTGAGCAATCACAGGCATTTCAAAAGCCTAGTACAGCAGTCAAAGGTTTTAACTTATGTAACATTGGACCATCAATGTGACTGGACGCAAGGGTTTAAAATTTAAGTTTTTTTTCATACCTGTCTTAGCATCATTATGATCATCTGTTTGTACCATAGAAGTAAAAAAATAACCTTTCATGACATTTGTAATGGATTGAACATTTTAAACAATCCACTTTATTGTACTTTTTTTATTAAATTAAAAATGTCATGCTCATATATCCTGTATAGAGCAAGAATGCTGATTGAAGCTCATGTTTATATGCATATTTCTTAACCATCTCCATTTTTTTAAATAAGTCTGAACTGGTATAAATTGGTAACAAATAAAAGAAAATTTTATCCAAGTTTATTAATCATTTGTATTATTAGTTTTCTGTTTACAAGCAGCCTCGAGGTGTCTCAAATTTTGTGCATGTGCATCCAGCGTGTTTGTCAGTTTCTCTCTCTGTCGTCTCAGTTTGAGATGGTGGCGATGCTTCCTGCCTTGTAGGTGGTCTGGTTACAAAAAGAAGAGTTCACATAGTAAACATCCCTGACTCCCCTAAACATAAATAATGTGACCAGGATTAAAGCCGACACTGACCTGTCCATTCTTTCTGATAGAAGAACTGCATCCCACCACAGAGATCACAAATGTTGGGGGCTAGTTGATTGACGTTAGTAAGGACAGGTTCAGGCTGTTGTTCAGGTGGCTGGCCCTACAAGTATAAAGGTAAACAAGCATCATAACATCAGCAGCCTTAATACAACAAAAAAAATTCCTGTCTAAACCAGGGGAGACAATTCAAGAATATTTAATCGGTATTACAGAGACGAATTGTTTCCCTTTAATGGTTAAGCCATCCATTCTCTTAAAAAAATTCTTTTATACAATGGAATTATTTACACACATACAAAAGAACAATCACTAAAATTCTTTTATTCAATGGAATTATTTACACACATACAAAAGAACAATCACTAAAATTCTGTCAAAAATTGACAAGCCAAATCATGTGAGTGGGCCTACACAAAAAAAGTTCACAAACTGACCAGACAGAAAGAATGGACAACTTCTTTTGCTTGCTGTACTATGGTGTTCCACTGGCTTAAATCTGTGGTATCCACTGAGTAAACAGGTGGGACGTTAGGACCAGGACCTAGATGAGTAAACAGGCAGGACGTAAGGACAAGTCTGTTTTGGTGGTTTAAAAAAAGTTGGTCTCAGTGTTCTAACTGATTGTCTGGACAGTAGAACCCCCCTGGACTACAGGTAAAAACATACGTCCACAGAATCTGTTCTTGATCCACTTGATCTGTTGTCTGGCATAACGCCTTGTGGTCAGTTTTAAATCAACAACTCCTGTAGAAAAAATACTTGACAATAAGTCTACTGGTAAAATAAATAATTGACAATAAGTCTATTAGTAAAAAAAATTAATTGACATTAATGAGTAACAAAAAGTGAAAACAAATATATTCAACTAGTGAAAACCATTCCTTTTTAGTAGCATTGAAAAAAAATACTGTTGAAACCTTGTTGAAAAAGTTTTCTCCCCTGTTCAGTAGCCCTCTCCTGGGGTGACTGGTGTAGGTATTGGTCAAACTCCTTGAAGCCAATCATCTGCAGTATACCGTGGCTGTACTCGTGGCCTGTGTCCCTGTCAATAAGACAATGGCTCTCATGTAAAACAACAAATAACATCGGCAGAGGTTTGGTGATAGTCACAACACCCCCCCCCCCTCTAGCACCGATGTGTTGAGATAAATCAAGGATTTGTTGCATTTATTTGGGTTAGTTCCCTTCGACTACTGTCGAAAAGGCAACTTTGCCCACAATGGAACCTAAACACAGCCGGAGGTGTGTGTGTGTGGGGGGGGGGAGACACACAGTGGTATCAGGGTGCATGCAGAGACAACTGGTTGTCTCAACAAGGTTGAGCAGGTCACGTTTGGGAGACCCACAGCTCCATTGTCTTCTATCGACAGAGTACAGTGTTGACCTACATTCAGAGCTTACTTCCCTCGTCACGTGACTAGTGGGTGAGTATTCGAGAGTCTTCACTGACAGGTCGATAACAGATGCTGGCTGTTTGACAGGGATGGGTGAGGTATGGCAGGGTATGACAGACAGGCTGGAGACAGGAAAGACATGAGACATGACAGACATAAGACAGGCTGGAGACAGGAAAGACATGAGACATGACAGACACAAGACAGGCTGGAGACAGGAAAGACATGAGACAAGACAGACACAAGACAGGCTGGAGACAGGACAGACATGAGACAAGACAGACACAAGACAGGCTGGAGACAGGACAGACATCAGACAAGACAGACACAAGACAGGAAATACATGAGACAAGACAAACACAAGACAGGCTGGAGACAGGACAGACATGAGACAAGACAGACACAAGACAGGAAAGACATGAGACAAGACAAACACAAGACAGGCTGGAGACAGGACAGACATGAGACAAGACAGACACAAGACAGGAAAGACATGAGACAAGACAAACACAAGACAGGCTGGAGACAGGAAAGACATGAGACAAGACAAACACAAGACAGGCTGGAGACAGGACAGACATGAGACAAGCAAGACAGACACAAGACAGGCTGGAGACAGGAAAGACATGAGACAAGACAGACATAAGACAGGCTGGAGACAGGACAGACATGAGACAAGACAGACACAAGACAGGAAATACATGAGACAAGACAAACACAAGACAGGCTGGAGACAGGACAGACATGAGACAAGACAAACACAAGACAGGCTGGAGACAGGAAAGACATCAGACAAGACAGACACAAGACAGGCTGGAGACAGGAGAGACATGAGACAAGACAGACACAAGACAGGAAATACATGAGACAAGACAAACACAAGACAGGCTGGAGACAGGAAAGACATGAGACAAGACAAACACAAGACAGGCTGGAGACAGGAAAGACATCAGACAAGACAGACACAAGACAGGCTGGAGACAGGACAGACATGAGACAAGACAGACACAAGACAGGCTGAAGACAGGACAGACATCAGACAAGACAGACACAAGACAGGCTGGAGACAGGAAAGACATGAGACAAGCAAGACAGACACAAGACAGGCTGGAGACAGGACAGACATGAGACAAGCAAGACAGACACAAGACAGGCTGGAGACAGGAAAGACATGAGACAAGACAGACACAAGACAGGCTGGAGACAGGAAAGACATGAGACAAGACAGACATAAGACAGGCTGGAGACAGGAAAGACATGAGACAAGACAGACACAAGACAGGCTGGAGACAGGACAGACATGAGACAAGACAGACACAAGACAGGCTGAAGACAGGACAGACATCAGACAAGACAGACACAAGACAGGCTGGAGACAGGAAAGACATGAGACAAGACAGACACAAGACAGGAAAGACATGAGACAAGACAAACACAAGACAGGCTGGAGACAGGACAGACATGAGACAAGACAAACACAAGACAGGCTGGAGACAGGACAGACATGAGACAAGCAAGACAGACACAAGACAGGCTGGAGACAGGACAGACATGAGACAAGACAGACACAAGACAGGAAAGACATGAGACAAGACAAACACAAGACAGGCTGGAGACAGGACAGACATGAGACAAGCAAGACAGACACAAGACAGGCTGGAGACAGGAAAGACATGAGACAAGACAGACATAAGACAGGCTGGAGACAGGACAGACATGAGACAAGACAGACACAAGACAGGAAATACATGAGACAAGACAAACACAAGACAGGCTGGAGACAGGAAAGACATGAGACAAGACAAACACAAGACAGGCTGGAGACAGGAAAGACATGAGACAAGACAAACACAAGACAGGCTGGAGACAGGACAGACATGAGACAAGACAGACACAAGACAGGAAATACATGAGACAAGACAAACACAAGACAGGCTGGAGACAGGAAAGACATGAGACAAGACAAACACAAGACAGGCTGGAGACAGGAAAGACATCAGACAAGACAGACACAAGACAGGCTGGAGACAGGACAGACATGAGACAAGCAAGACAGACACAAGACAGGCTGGAGACAGGACAGACATGAGACAAGCAAGACAGACACAAGACAGGCTGGAGACAGGAAAGACATGAGACAAGACAGACACAAGACAGGCTGGAGACAGGAAAGACATGAGACAAGACAGACATAAGACAGGCTGGAGACAGGAAAGACATGAGACAAGACAGACATAAGACAGGCTGGAGACAGGACAGACATCAGACAAGACAGACACAAGACAGGATGGAGACAATGCTGTAGCATTGGCTGTATGCCTTATCCTAAATAAGTACCAGTATTGACCTGATATCAAATGTATTATATCACAAGTACCAGCCTGATATAAAATGTATTATATCACAAGTACCAGCCTGATATAAAATGTATTATATCACAAGTACCAGCCTGATATAAAATGTATTATATCACAAGTACCAGCCTGATATAAAATGTATTATATCACAAGTACCAGCCTGATATAAAATGTATTATATCACAAGTACCAGCCTGATATAAAATGTATTACATGACTGTTACACCAAGACTACCTGTGCTTGTCCTGCTCCTCTAACCTCTTGACCTCCTGCTCAAAAGTCTCCAGTTCTTGGATCAGTCCCCTGCTGATCATATCGTCCACACGGTTGTCTAGCCTCAGGTTCAGTTCTAAAGACAAAAACATGTTTTATTTTAGCACAAACATGTTTTATTGTGACAAAAACACGTGTTATTTTAGCACAAACATGTTTTATTGTGACAAAAACATGTTTTATTTTAGCACAAACATGTTTTATTGTGACAAAAACATGTTTTATTTTAGCACAAACATGTTTTATTGTGACAAAAACATGTTTTATTTTAGCACAAACATGTTTTATTGTGACAAAAACACAAGTGTTATTTTAGCACAAACATGTTTTATTGTGACAAAAAGATGTTTAATTTTAGCACAAACATGTTTTATTGTGACAAAAACACGTTTTATTTTAGCACATACTTGTTTTATTATGACAAAAACACGTTTTATTTTAGCACATACATGTTTTATTGTGACAAAAACATGTTTTATTTTAGAACATACATGTTTATTGTGACTAAGCACGTTTTATTTTAGCAGCTATAAAGTTTTATTACGACATCTACTGTTACAACCCCCCCCCCCCCCCCTCCGTATACACAGCCACTATTGTGAGATACCACCCGTGTACACAGCCACAAAAAGCCATGGAATGTCACACAAGTCCCGTCCAACTGCAGCTGACCACAGCTATCGACAAGTTTGGGACATAAAAACGGAGTTATTGTTGTAGACCATAGAGCAGCCCCAGATGAGTAGCACCCCCCCCTCCCCACCCACTGGTCAGACAAGGAGGTCAACACTAGCAACCACTGGACACCCTCCCCGTGATGGAGATGTGGACAATTGTTGTGGCCCCCAACACCGCTGGACACAACACCACATTCCATCACCTGGAGCCCGTGAATAAGAGAAAAACGTTGCAGGAATCAAATTAAAACCACAGGATTGGGGGGAGGGGGGGGGGGGAGGAATGGTTTAAATTTGTGGGTGACGATGTGGCCGAGGGGGGGGGGGGAGAGAATGGTTTAAATTTGTGGGTGACGATGTGGCCGAGGGGGGGGGGGGGGGGGGAGAGTATGGTTTAAATTTGTGGGTGACGATGTGGCCGGGGGGGAGATTAAATCGGACACAAATAAAGGACCTGCTAGTTAAGTGCTACTTCTCCCCCCCCCCCCTCCCCATGTGCCCAGGTGTTACGTTAAGAAGTGTTGGATGCTGAATATATCAGAAAATATCAAAGCGTTGCTGATAAGCGATGTTAGTCAAACCGCCACGCCGCACCTGTGAATAGCAGCTCTTTCGACTAGACCAAAGCAAGTATGACCCGCGGGCTTCGTTAATAGACATAGGTGGTCACTACAAAAATTTGGTGGTCAAGACAAAAACTAGCTGTTTGACCACACATTAGGGCGGTTTGTATTCGGACACCCCCTTGGCTAGTCAGTTTTTATTCTACAATATTGACCACTACAAGCCAAACATTTGATCACTACAAGTACAAGCACAACATATGACCATTAGAATCTTGATGTCTGACCACTACACGTCTGATGTAGGAAAAAAAGTCACAGGAAAAAAAGTCACAAATATATATTTGCATGGAATTTGTTAATACTTTTATGAATTATATATTAAGAGAGTGCAAATTAACTTAGGATTAATTAAATGTAATGTAATGTTTGTAGGTTGTATACGCATGGGAATTTTTATAATTCATCTAAAAATATTTAGTATGAAGTATGTAGATTGTAATTATGTTAAACATAGATTAATAGCATTTAATAGAATGCTCCAAAGTCCACGCTTATCATTGCGGTTTTTACTTGCTCGTATATACCAAGTATAGAGAAAGTCTTGTAATCGTGCAAAAAAAAAATCGAGATTTTTACAAATCTCGACGTTTTACAACTCACTGATACGGAAAAACATAATTTTGCAACCTTGTCCATATGTCTGTGTGTCTGTCTGTGTGTCTGTCTGTGTGTAAACACGATAACTTGAGTACCGTTACAGCTACGTTGATGAAATTTCATATATAAGTATTTTATAGAGCATTTTTACTTACAATTGTTATAAACCATAATGCGTTTAACGCCTATAAATAATATATGCTATCAAAAAATACAACCCACAATAATAAACATACAAAATTTTATAATTTCCAAGAAATAAATCAAAAGATTTCTGAAAAAAAATTTTGTGACTTTTTTCTGTGACTTTATTTCTGTCTTTTTCTCCGATAAAATTTTTTCCATTGTGACTTTTTTTCTGTGACTTTTTTCCTAGCAAAAACTGACTTTTTTTCTGTTTTTTTTCCTGTGACTTTTTTCCGTTCACCACAAGCCTGACCACTACAAGCATAATATTTGACCACTACAAGTCTGACCACTACAACCTTGATGTCTGACCACTACAAGCCTGACGCTGAACCTCACACAACCTGTGCGGCCATCAAACCCCACGTACCAGGCTCTGACCACTACAAGCCTGACCACTACAACCTTGATGTCTGACCACTACAAGCCTGACCACTACAACCTTGATGTCTGACCACTACAAGCATGACGCTGTACCTCACACAACCTGTACGGCCATCAAACCCCACGTACCAGGCTCTGACCACTACAAGCATAACATTTGACCACTACAAGCCTGACCACTACAACCTTGATGTCTGACCACTACAAGCCTAACGCTGTACCTCACACAACCTGTGCGGCCATCAAACCCCACGTACCAGGCTCTGACCACTTTCAAGTTGTATGTAGCCATCTCGGTGTTTAAAGACCGCTCGCTGCTTAATGAGCCATAAACTTTCCCGCCGGACAGTCACGTGATGACCACGGTTCAGACCACTTGGACTAGACCAGCCAAACGCTTTTTAATGTGGGCCACTGTACAATGCCCTGTTACATGCTAACACCCCCCCCCCCCCAACCCGAGTGATGCTCGCTGGTCAGTACTAAACCCTTCAAGCTGGTCCCGTGGACACAGAGTGATTGATGAGTGATGGCTCGTCAGGATGCTTAAGGTTTGAAGATGAAGGGGGGTGGGGTGGTTGAGAGCCCCCCCCCCCCCCCCCACCCCTCTCCGATATTGAATACTTCCACGGTGGTCAGAATAGTACGACTGTTGCCGTGTTAAGATGGTCGTGAACTTACAAGAACTCAAGACTGCTTGGAAGGAAAACCGCAATATTTTATCTACACCAGTAAGACGACGTCGATAGTTTGATGAAGGTTTGCATAAATGTTTCATTTAAAGTTCAACAATAAATCTAATTTTTTCGCTCTATCTGTAAAGACCTACACAAGATAATGTAGACAAATAGCAACAGTTGTAGCCCTAACTGTAGACAAATAGCTACAGTTGTAGCCCTAACAAAGAGCAAGATATAGACTGATGCACTAAGAAGCCCCAACAAAGAGCAGGTCCTGTAGATCGGGAACGGGTCTAGACATAACCTTGGTACAGTTTTGGTTCTTTGTGCCCAGGTTCCGCTCGGGTGGTCACAGATTCCTTACGTGACGGCTATTTATAACATCAGGACCAGTCATGTTTTGCATCTAAGAACACCTGTCTGGCCTACTTCAACCATCAAATGTAGAACGCTACATAAAGGTCGCCAATATTTGTAAACAGTCGTTGGGTAAAATCACGTAATACAAATACTTTATGTGTTCATGCATCAATAATACGAATTCAGTTGAGATGACTAGGGTAACTGTCTGTAGGCCATAAAGTCCTAAAATGGGTTTTTGTAGGAATCCCCATCCTTTTGGTCAGAACCTGAATTCGACTAGGTCTAAACGTGTAATTGTGACGATGGGATGATAAGACGGGTAATCACGTGACAACAGAAAGAGATTATTCCTGATAGTCAGTTATTACAACTTGTGGTTGTCCAGCAGTTAGGAAGTCTAGCCTGTGGGATAACCCGTGGGACAGCCTGCGTCTAGCCCGTGGGATAGCCTGCGTCTAGCCCGTGGGATAGCCTGCGTCTAGCCCGTGGGATAGCCTGCGTCTAGCCCGTGGGACAGCCTGCGTGAATAGCCCAGCCCCGGTCATAATGCCCCCTCCAACATAATCTCCGTGATGAAGGATGGTCTATTAACCTTAATGACACAACAGCTATTAACACGACTAATACAACGAGAGCCATTAAAGTATCCCACGATGGCATTTGACACGAACTTATCGAGGCCGTATCGTGGTTTACCAACAAGTATGTTTAGTCCACGTCTCAAACACACCCAGCCCGCTTGTACTGCTAGATGTGTATGTTTTTGTTATGGTCTAGATGACTTGTGTTTACAACCGTCCGTATGGTGTCAACACTTTGGTCATGCAGGCGAAACATCGTCTAATCTTTGTTTGAACTTGTTTTTATTTGAAACTATGTGAACGCCCGGGTCAAGGTGAAGGAGACACTTGTTATTCGCGAGCTAAATAAACGTCTTGTGTCGCAATCAGACAGGTGGGATTATGTGGCTTGGTTCGGCCCATCAAAGTCCGCACACCGTCGACCACTGCAGCGCTGTCTAGTCGGGGCTTCATTGATACATGTGTTTATTTGTGGACTAGACAAAGCCACATCTGGTTCACTACATCGACACCTCCGCGCTAATGTGGAGCTAGAAAGCTCATTTCACCATTAGCACGCGACTGCTCATTAACTGACACGGAAGTTTAAAAAGGTTAAAAGTGGTTGCCCCGGAAGTTGAACCAGCAATTAATAACTGACCATACATCAGGGCCGTTTGTATTCGGACACTCCCTTGTCTGGTCTACAATATTGATCACGAGATGACCAGGCAGCCACCCCCCCCCCCCCCCCCACTTCAGTCGTGTGAATGAACGTCTGTTATTGAACCTACATTCTAATGGCGGCGCGATCCTCCAGATATCATGACCTGATTAGCACAGGAAACAAAAACATAAAACTATTTGTAGCTATCAGTGAGTTATTTTTAGCAAAGTCTTTATTCTAACGCCAAACTGGCTTACACAAGTCCTTATGGTCGAGCAGCCACATCTTCAAGATTTGCTGGGGTTGGTTTCTTTATCTTATATCTTTATAAACTGTTATACGTTTACAAACTGTTATAAGTTTACAAACTGTTATGTTTACAAACTGTTATATGTTGACATTGAATATACAGAAGAAGCCAACTAAAAAGAAAGACTAGATGAAGGAAAGAGCAGGGTCCAAACAGTATCACAATCCCATGCTGACATCGGCCCATGATTAAACAAGTCGTATTGGGGTATTTTACCCACAACTGTACATACAACCATATTCCACTCTCTGTATTTTACCCACAACTGTACATACAACCATATTTCACTCTCTGTATTTTACTCACAACTGTACCTACAACCATATTCCACTCTCTGTATTTTACCCACAACTGTACATACAACCATATTTCACTCTCTGTATTTTACTCACAACTGTACCTACAACCATATTCCACTCTCTGTATTTTACCCACAACTGTACATACAACCATATTCCACTCTCTGTATTTTACTCACAACTGTACCTACAACCATATTCCACTCTCTGTATTTTACCCACAACTGTACATACAACCATATTCCTCTCTCTGTATTTTACCCACAACTGTACATACAACCATATTCCTCTCTCTGTATTTTACCCACAACTGTACATACAACCATATTCCACTCTCTGTATTTTACCCACAACTGTACATACAACCATACTCCACTCTCTGTATTTTACCCACAACTGTACATACAACCATATTCCACTCTCTGTATTTTACCCACAACTGTACCTACAACCATATTCCACTCTCTGTATTTTACCCACAACTGTACATACAACCATATTCCACTCTCTGTATTTTACCCACAACTGTACATACAACCATATTCCACTCTCTGTATTTTACCCACAACTGTACATACAACCATACTCCACTCTCTGTATTTTACCCACAACTGTACATACAACCATACTCCACTCTCTGTATTTTACCCACAACTGTACATACAACCATATTCCACTCTCTGTATTTTACCCACAACTGTACATACAACCATATTCCACTCTCTAAACTGGACCAACCCCCACATCCACTGGGTAACCCTAACAACCAGTTTCAAAAAGCCTTTAACCCCCCCCCCCCCCTCACCAAAGGACCAGCCATACTAGGTATGAGAAGTACCTGGTTGAGCGCACTTGACCCAGATAATGCAGGGGTCAGGGTAACGCAGAGGTCCACTCTTGACGTTCTCTTGACCAGCGTGCTGCTCCTTCAAGATGGCCGACATTGTGCGCCCAGTTTGGTAGTACACATGAAGAGCCCTGGGGATAGAATCCAGAGTCAGGACCACTGGCTGACTCACACGACCACAGTCTGACTCAACGACCACTGGCTGACTCACCAGAGTCAGGACCACTGGCTGACTCACCAGAGTCAGGACCACTGGCTGACTCACACGACCACTGACTGACTCACACGACCACTGGCTGACTCACCAGAGTCAGGACCACTGACTGACTCACACGACCACTGGCTGACTCACACGACCACTGACTGACTCACACGACCACTGGCTGACTCACACGACCACTGGCTGACTCACACGACCACTGGCTGACTCACACGACCACTGGCTGACTCACCAGAGTCAGGACCACTGACTGACTCACAAGACCACTGACTGACTCACACGACCACTGACTGACTCACACGACCACTGGCTGACTCACACGACCACTGGCTGACTCACACGACCACTGGCTGACTCACACGACCACTGGCTGACTCACCAGAGTCACGACCACTGACTGACTCACACGACCACTGGCTGACTCACACGACTACTGACTGACTCACACGACCACTGACTGACTCACCAGAGTCACGACCACTGACTGACTCACACGACCACTGGCTGACTCACACGACCACTGACTGACTCACACGACTACTGACTGACTCAACGACCACTGACTGACTCACACGACCACTGACTGACTCAACTGGCTGACTCACACGACCACTGGCTAACTCACACGACCACTGACTGACTCACACGACCACTGGCTGACTCACACGACCACTGACTGACACACGACCACTGACTGACTCACCAGAGTCACGACCACTGGCTGACTCACACGACCACTGACTGACTCACACGACTACTGACTGACTCAACGACCACTGACTGACTTAACCACCACTGACTGGCTCACCAGAGTCACGACCACTGACTGACTCACACAACCCCTGGCTGACACACCAGAGTCACGACCCCCAAAGACTGACTCCATGACCACTGGCTGACTCACCAGAGTCACAACCAATGGCTGACTCAAAGTCCAGAGTTAGTGAATCATCACCTTGGCCTGCACACACTCTATCAGGCTATTGAATGTCTTACAATTATCAGCAAAATGCTATCATCTGCACTTGAAGATAACTTAGTTTTCTCAATCTGTGACTGTAGGGTTTTTCCCAATCACTTGCTAAGTTTCATCTCTACTAAAGGACTGCACTGACTGGGATCAAACAGTTCAGGTGATGCCTGGGCTTGCTGTACACTGCAGCATTTTGTCCACGGGACAACAACATCATTAACAACTACATGCAACTGCCCCCAATCACCTCAGGCTTAGAGGTGTGTAACCGCCCCTCCCTGAGTGATGTGTCAACCCTTACCTTACCACTTTCCGCTTGTTCCTAGGGTGAAGTCTGGCTGCTGTGACTGGGTCGACTTGCTGAAGTTTCTTGTACAACTCCTCTATACTCATCCCATGTAGGCAGGCAATCAACCCTTCAGAGTCGTGCTTATAATCCTCCAGGGGTTTGGTTGTTGGGGAATAGTCCTGGGGTGACACGTTAGTGGGGCCACTGGGCACATCTGCGGGGCTGACACTAGACTCATGTAGAGAAGACCCAGAAATAGAATCCTCAGGTAAGGATGACCCGCAAGTAGAGTCCACTGAAGTGCTTTGATCACAGCTGTTGTCAAGTGTTTCATCACCCAGGTCCTGGCCAGTGTTCTGTGCCACTGTCTGGTCACCACTGGACCCCACAGTTGATGGTGTCGTCTGTAGAGTGGCAGCTACACGTGACGTCAGGTCAAGTTTAGACACCGGGCTATTGTCGTCATCCTACACAAAACAAAAGCCCACTGTTAGGGACCAAAGTTAGGACACAAGACTCAAACATTTTATGTACCCTACACAAAACAAAAGCCCACTGTTAGGGACCAAAGTTTGGACACAAGATTCAAACATTTAATGTAACCTACACAAAACAAAAGCCCACTGTTAAGGACCAAAGTTTGGACACAAGATTCAAACATTTATTGTACCCTACACAAAACAAAAGCCCACCGTTAGGGACCAAAGTTTGGACACAAGATTCAAACATTTAATGTAACCTACACAAAACAAAAGCCCACTGTTAGGGACCAAAGTTTGGACACAAGATTCAAACATTTTATGTACCCTAAACAAAACAAAAGCCCACTGTTAGGGACCAAAGTTTGGACACAAGATTCAAACATTTAATGTACCCTACACAAAACAAAAGCCCACTGTTAGGGACCAAAGTTTGGACACAAGATTCAAACATTTTATGTACCCTACACAAAACAAAAGCCCACTGTTCGGGACCAAAGTTTGGACACAAGATTCAAACATTTAATGTACCCTACACAAAACAAAAGCCCACTGTTAGGGACCAAAGTTTGGACACAAGATTCAAACATTTAATGTACCCTACACAAAAAAAAAGCCCACTGTTAGGGACAAAGGTTAGGACACAAGATTCAAACATTTTATGTACCCTACACAAAACAAAAGCCCACTGTTAAGGACCAAATCTTTGACACAAGATTCAAACATTTAATGTACCCTACACAAAACAAAAGCCCACTGATAGGGACCAAAATGGGATCAAACAATTTAGCCGGAACGAAACGAAGTAAGACCGTAAGACCAAACAATTTAGCCGGCAAGAAACGAAGCAAGTGTCGAGAAGTGGTGCACATGTACGATGTTCCCCAACAGATTGAGGAGGGTGGGGACTGTTGACGGTACTCGGTGTGACTGTCTCAGGTGATTATCTCAAACAACGATAGCGGATAGTGGAGCTGATCTGGCTGATAAGGTTGGAGAGGTAAGAAAAACACGACGTTCATACATCGCTGCGCACTAATAATAGGCGCCCTATTTCAAATCTAAAGGATTGTGAGGGATTGTATAGAACCAAAGATTGTACGCCCAAATGATTGTACTGAATTAAAATATTGTAAGCTAAAAGGATTGTGTGCCAGTTTAAGAGTTTAAAATTTATTTTAACCTGCGACCGACAATCGTGTTACATGAGATTTTCTATTTATTTCCACAGAGTTAATAAAGCTTTACTGTTTTAGAACGACTCAATATTTAAGACCATCACTTCGTTAATCAGTGATATTTTTAGACCAATAAACTATTTTAAAACACATCACTTGGTTAATTTAAAGGAGTGAAACTTCGCTGATTATGTTTCTAACGTGTGGGCCAACCGCACTATATTTCCAAATTTATTTTTTTAGTTACTTCCCTTGGTCTAATATTAGCTAAGAATAGCAGTGCGCGGTTTTTATCACTTGGAGTAATTAACCGTACCCAGATATTGGCGTATAATGGAGTGAATCGATAAGGTTACTTTAGCCCTCAAACTACTTAGGGCTAAAGGTTTAGGGCTGACATAGCCGTTTAACTGGCCATACAGTTATGTAGGTACGCTAATGCGGAGCATCTGATTGTGTAAGTGTAGTGTAACATTACTAACAACCACCAAGAAAATGTTTGTATGCTATTAATGGTATTATATGAGTGGAATACCCGTGGCTGGTCACGTGGTCTTGGTGACGTAACGTGTTGTTTACTGGAGTAGACGAGAAAGTCAAGGGGTCACTGGATGTTGGCAAAGGTAAAGTGGGAGTGGGGCAGTGCGTGGGGTCAAGGTAACGGCGAGATCGTTCAACCGTCGGCAGGAGAAAACAAGCGGGAGGTCTGGACTAATTGTGCACGTAATGGATGCACATCTGACGCAGTGTTGACACCTACTCCAGCACCACACTAGTGCACCACTGTCTCGGCGGGTGACTCATTCATCAGACAGCTTTTGTTTACCTGTCAATGTTCGACAACACAAAGGTTCTCACATTAGCCACCATCTGACATGTAGGTGATACAACAACAACTGCCGCATGTAGGTGATACAACACCAACTGCCGCGGGCATGTAGGTGATACAACACCAACTGCCGCGGGCATGTAGGTGATACAACACAGTCAACTTATTGGGCACCTTATCACTTTCACGTCTTTTATAAAGCGACTAGATTGTAATAGTTACAACACAGCCAACAGTTCTCTACATCTTTGAAAAAAAAAAATGTATTCCACAAACTTCCGAAGGTTGCTGAGTTAACCAGCTCTCACATTTCTGGCATGATGTCGGCTTCCTGTTTAGTGCTCAATGCCAGGTAGACGACTGTTGAGGTCAATGCCACTATACGTCAATATCAGACATTAGACTACAGCAGTTGCTAGGTTTTGTGGGGGGGGGGGGGGGCGTGGTAGACACAAGGGAAGTAACACACGACCAAAGTTACTAGTAACAGAACAAAACAGGTGGCAGTAGCTAAATGTTTTATAAATCTGTGTCCCAGACAGCACGTGTTAGTGAGATTAAAAATACAATAGTTTGCAGATTTCAAATGTTGCAACCAACATACTCGTATGGATACAAATACTGTAGTATCAACAGGCTGGGATATAAACCCGTTACATTTTATTGTTTGTCAATCGTCGCGTGGAACTAGAACACCTAATGTGTAATGAATCATTCACTGCAGTTATAATGGGTGAAAACATGTTTGACCCACACTCTAGGCCATGTTTGACACCCACACCAAGTAACACTGCCCCTCAAACTGGGACCTATTGGACCCTCACACTGGGACCTATTGGACCCTCACACTGAGACCTATTGGACCCTCACACTGGGACCTATTGGACCCTCACACTGGGACCTATTGGACCCTCACACTGGGACCTATTGGACCCTCACACTGGGACCTATTGGACCCTCACACTGGGACCTATTGGACCCTCACACTGGGACCTATTGGACCCTCACACTGGGACCTATTGGACCCTCACACTGAACCTATTGGACCCTCACACTGGGACCTATTGGACCCTCACACTGGGACCTATTGGACCCTCACACTGGGACCTATTGGACCCTCACACTGGGACCTATTGGACCCTCACACTGGGACCCATTGGACCCTCACACTGGGACCTATTGGGCCCTCACACTGAGACCTATTGGACCCTCACACTGGGACCTATTGGACCCTCACACTGAGACCTATTGGACCCTCACACTGAGACCTATTGGACCCTCACACTGGGACCTATTGGACCCTCACACCGGGACCTATTGGACCCTCACACTGAGACCTACTGGACCCTCACACTGGGACCTATTGGACCCTCACACTGGGACCTATTGGACCCTCACACTGGGACCTATTGGACCCTCACACTGGGAACTATTGGACCCTCACACTGGGACCTATTGGACCCTCACACTGGGACCTATTGGACCCTCACACTGAACCCATTGGACCCTCACACTGGGACCTATTGGACCCTCACACTGGGACCTATTGGACCCTCACACTGGGAACTATTGGACCCTCACACTGGGACCTATTGGACCCTCACACTGAACCCATTGGACCCTCACACTGGGACCTATTGGACCCTCACACTGGGACTTATTGGACCCTCACACTGGGACCTATTGGACCCTCACACTGGGACCTATTGGACCCTCACACTGAGACCTACTGGACCCTCACACTGAGACTTACTGGACCCTCACACTGGACCTACTGGACCCTCACACTGAACCTATTGGACCCTCACACTGAACCTATTGGACCCTCACACTGGGGCCTATTGGACCCTCACACTGAGACCTACTGGACCCTCACACTGAGACTTACTGGACCCTCACACTGGACCTACTGGACCCTCACACTGAACCTATTGGACCCTCACACTGGGACCTATTGGACCCTCACACTGGGACCTATTGGACCCTCACACTGGGACCTATTGGACCCTCACACTGGGACCTATTGGACCCTCACATATTGGACCCTCACACTGGGACCTATTGGACCCTCACACTGAGACCTATTGGACCCTCACACTGGACCTATTGGACCCTCACACTGGGACCTATGAGACCCTCACACTGGGACCTATTGGACCCTCACACTGGGACCTATTGGACCCTCACACTGGGACCTATTGGACCCTCACACTGAGACCTATTGGACCCTCACACTGGGACCTACTGGACCCTCACACTGGGACCTATTGGACCCTCACACTGGGACCTATTGGACCCTCACACTGGGACCTATTGGACCCTCACACTGGGACCTATTGGACCCTCACACTGGGACCTATTGGACCCTCACACCGGGACCTATTGGACCCTCACACTGGGACCTATTGGACCCTCACACCGGGACCTATTGGACCCTCACACTGGGACCTATTGGACCCTCACACTGGGACCTATTGGACCCTCACACTGGACCTACTGGACCCTCACACTGAGACTTACTGGACCCTCTCACTGAGACCTACTGGACCCAGTTTTTTTAAAGTGACTCATGGCGGTAGCCTGACCTACATAACCCAACTGATCACCATTGATCGGCGTTCACGTGACGCCCGGATTCCTATACGGCCTCTGCTGTCATGGGCCCACGCCACACCAGCTTTTCACTGCTTGACACCAACGCCACGCAGTAACCCAAGCGTGACCCGGGGCCCTTGAAAACATCCAGGACAGAGGTCAGCGTGTCACCCGGAAAATGGCCAAACTTTTGAAAGCATCCCAATATTTTAGCCACGTTAAAAAAATAATGAAAAGACTTTTATAAACGCCAGTCTGACTAAAAAAAAAAAGTACAGAACAATGTTACCAGCTGATTCCGTGGGTGTGTATGTGAAACACGCTCAGAGGTCGGTAGCACGGTCAGATGGTCGAGGTTTGTCTTTTATTCCTTCAGTAGCTAAAGG